GAAAAAGGTTTACACCACCAAGCCGTACTAAGTCTATATATTTTAAAACTTACAGCGGGATTATGCTACTTAAGACCCAGAACCAGAGTAAGTCCAAACATTAGACATATTTCAAAAAAATTTTTCTTACATGCAAGCTAAGGCTGCATCCCTGAAAATCACCTCAAACTCACACCATGATTGCACCTCTTTAGAACTCAAACAAGACCAAAACTATGCGCTAAGACCCAGACCAATACTACAGCCCTGAAAATCCAGACCAATATTATACACTTCAAAATCCAGACCAGAACTACATCCTTGAAGATCTAGACCAAGACTACACCCCTGAAAGTTTAAATCAGGATTATGCAATTCAAGATCCAGAACAAGACTACACCCCTACAAACCCAGATCAAGACACTTCAAGATCTAGACCAAGACTATAACCCAAGAAACCCAGATTAAGTCATTACACTTTAAGATCCAGACCGACTACCACTAAACCTCAGGCCAAGACAATTCCAGATCCAAGTCTACACTTCAAAAACCGGACCAAGACTATACACTTCCAGATCCAGATCAAGACTATACACTTCCAGATCCAGACCAAGACTATACTTCAAGACCCAGACCTAGACTACACTTCAAAATCCGGACCAAGACTATACTTCAAAACCCAGACCAAGACTACACTTCAAGATCCGGACCAAGACTATACACTTCCAGATCCAGACCAAGACTATACTTCAAGACCCAGACCAAGAATACACTTCAAGATCCGGACCAAGACTATACTTTAAGACCCAGACCAAGACTATACACTTCCAGGTCCAGACCAAAACTATACTTCTAGACCCAGACCAAGACTATACACTTCCAGATCCAGACCAAGACTATACTTCAAGACCTAGACCAAGACTACACTTTAAGATCCAGACCAAGACTATACTTTAAGACCCAGATTAAGACTACACTTCAAGATCCGGACCAAGACTATACACTTCCAGATCCAGACCAAGACTACACTTCAAGACCTAGACCAAGACTACACTTTAAGATCCTGACCAAGACTATACTTTAAGACCCAGACTAAGACTACACTTCAAGATCCGGACCAAGAGTATACACTTCCAGATCCAGACCAAGACTATACTTTAAGACCTAGACCAAGACTACACTTTAAGATCTGGACCAAGACTATACTTTAAGACCCAGACCAAGACTATACACTTCCAGATCCAGACCAAGATTATACTTCTAGACCCAGACCAAGACTATACACTTCCAGATCCAGACCAAGACTGTACTTCAAGACCAAGACTACACTTCAAGATCTGGACCAAGACTATACACTTCCAGATCCAGACCAAAACTATGCTTCTAGACCCAGACCAAGACTATACAGTCCAAGATCCAGACCAACACCCCTGAAGGCCACCTCAAGCCTGCACCTAGAATGCACCTCTTAAGACCCCAAACAAGGCTAAAACTATGCACTAGGACCCACATCAATACTACAGCTCTGAAACCAAGACCAAAATTAAAATCCAGACCAGGACTTTACAATTCAAGACCCAGAGCAATACTATAGCCCTGCAAACCTAGATCGAGATTACACAATTTTAGACCCAGAACAAGACATTGCACTTCAAGATTCAGAGAAAGACTACAGTACTGAAAACTCATATCAAGACAATAGAAGTCAAGCTCCAGACCAAGACTACACCCCTAAAAACCCTGACCAAGGTTTTACATTTCAAGAGGCTGACCAACACTACACCTCTGAAAACTCATTTAAAGACTGTACAATTCAAGATCCAGAGCAAGACTACCTCCATCTCTAAAAAAGGCCACACCAACTGACCTAGTGAAGTTCAAACATGAGCATGAGAATTGGGAGGAAAAGTGATTTAAGTCACTTTTAAAGTGGCATGTGCTGGCAGTCAATGGGACTGTGTCTACTGGGATTTTCACATTCAAAAATCTCTAGGATTTACAGAGAATAGTAAAAAAAATATATACCCATTACATTGCTGATGCCAAATGTCCAATGACAATGGTTTGACTGATGTGAAACCTTCCATCAGCTCTGACCCATCATGGCCTCCCAATTATCCTCATCCACAGAATTGGCTCCATCACTGTCTCTTCAGTCAATAGCTGGTGTGTGGGGAGTGCACTGGCACCGTTGTCCTGGCTGCCGTCACATCATCCAAGTGGATGCTGCACATTAGTGGTGTGGAGAGGTCCCCTTCATCAGGGGTGTCCAAACTCGGTCCCGGAGAGCCGGTGTCCTGCAGATTTTAGCTCTAACTTTCCTCAACACACTTGCAAAGATGTTTCTAGAAAGTCTAGTAAGAGCTTGATAAGCTAGCCCAGATGTGTCTGATTGGGGTTGGAACTAAACTTTGGCCCTCCAGGACCGAGTTTGGACATGCCTGCCCTACATTATACAGTAGGTCTCAAACTGCATTCCTGGTGGGCAGCAGCACTGCACAGTTTTGCTCCAACCCTTCTCAAACACAGCTGATCCAATTAATCAAGGTGTTCAAAACTAATTTTAACATCTTGATAAGTTGGTTCAGCTGTGTTCGAGTAAAGTTGAAGCAAAACTGTGCAGAGCTCCAGCCCTCCATGAATTGAGTTTGAGACCTATGCCCTACATGATAGTGAAGTGCTTTGGGAGTATGATAAATGTGCTATATGAATACACATTACATTGAAAACCATCAAATACTAAAAATTATTCAGCTATATTTCACAAACTTGTTTTATTTTTTAAGAAAGAGGCCTGAGGTCTGCTCATCTAACTATATGATCTATTGAACAAAACTATATGCTGCAAGAAAATATGCAAAGCATCAAAGACAGAGTGGCACACAATACTGCATGCAGATGTATTTGGTGTTTTGCATGAATGCACCATTGTGGCTTCAGTACACATAGTTAATCATAGTTTTCTAGTTTTTTTTTTTTTAAATCTAAATGTAAATAAAAAAGAAAAGACAGGCCCGTATCCAGGGGGTGTTCAGGTGGTTCGAAAGACTCCCCCCTCACGGACAAAGATCCAGAATTTGTCCCAATCGTGAGCTGTTGTCCTATTTTGATTGCTATGCCATCATAAGTTGTGAAATAACCCATTGAAAAGGGTTGTTGTGACTACAGCTAATCTGTTTTGACCAATGCAAACTATTATTTTTCTAGAGTCCAACATCCAGCTGTGCAAGAAAACATACGATCTGACATAAGTGAAGTCAGTTTTAGCTACTGTATTGTTTTTAAATAGAGAAAACATTTAACAAGTGACTCTTATTCTAAATTCTGGACCTTATTCTTGAAACAAAAAGTGGTCAATGAAATGGTGTGAAGCACCAAAAACGTACCATATTACAATTATTTTTGAATACTGATTTGGCTTTAGCTGTTGTTATCCATGATTATTAAAATGTCCTTTTTTTACAAGAGAGGCTACAAAAATCGTGAAGCTGTAAATTATTATTATTCATTGATTCATTCATTTTCTTTTCGGCTAAGTCCCTTTATTAATCCGGGGTCGCCACAGCGGAATGAACTGCCAAATTATCCAGCATATGTTTTACGCAGCCGATGTAACATATGGGTCCAGCTGCAACCCATTTATGGGAAACCCATCCATACACACTCATTAACACTCATACACCAGGGACAATTTAGCCTATCCAGTTCACCTGTACCGCATGTCTTTGGACTGTGGAGGAAACCGGAGCACCCGGAGGAAACCCACGCAAACACAGGGAGAACATGCAAACTCCACACAGAAAAGCCAACTGATCCAGCTGAGGCTCGAACCAGCGATCTTCTTGTTGTGAGGCAACAGCACTACCTACTGCACCACTGTGTCGCCATTATTATTATTATGTTTGAATATTTCTTATTCAAAAATTGCCAAATTCTGACTAAGGACAGTTGAATTTTGTGGACAGTTTGTTATTTGCCTAATAAATGACAATAAGCTATTTTTAATTTAAAAGTTTAACAGATTCCTATTTTCTAATGATATTATGATGTAATGAATTTGTATTTTAAAAAATAAGAATTTTTCCTATTTCTTTATTAGAATTATTTATTTATAATAATTTTTTGTACATTAAAAATGTGGTTATGATGACCACTCGACAAGCGAATTCAGCTAAATATAGTGCTTAAAATGTCACTAAAATGCCGTATTTAAATCTCATAAATAGATAGAAAATGAGGAGAAAAAGAACCACCCCCTTTAACAGGCTGGCTACGGGCCTAAAACAAAATAATAAATTAAGGAAAAGGAGGAAATTAATTAGCAGTTACCATGAATGACCACTGAAATAAACTCAATGGAGTGGTGCAGCAGAGAGCACGCAGCAGGCTGATGTCTGCAGTGACCACTGTGCGTCGGGTTTTTTTTTTAACATGGCACCTTTTTGCTATTCTAAAACAAAAAATATCATAAATGGCAAATGTTTAATTAATGTTTTAATTTAATTAAAATATTACTCAAACACATAAATATAAATAAATAAAATCAGTAAATCCAAAAATCTTCACACGCACACTCGCGCTTTTTTATCCATACCAGCCTGTTGATCTTATTCTTGACACCTCCATTGATTAAAACAGCTCGTTATGTCTTATTATATTATTCCCTTATTTTCTATTTTTTTCATGGACATGAACACGCTTGTTTGTAGAGTTTGGCCGTTTTCTGCTGTTTATTATTCCTAGTCATTTCTCCCGTAGGAAACAGAATCGGAAGGTCCAAAACAATAGCAAAAATCGCACGTCCGCGTCGCAGAATAAGGTAAAAAAACTATTTCATCTCCTTTCTTTGCACATGTTCTTATTTTCGATAAACACAGTTAAATGGATCCCATTCACCTGCTTTTAAGCAGCTCTCATTCTTCCATGCTTCTCAAACGTGAGCGTCCTCGTAACACGTGACATCGTCTCGACCAATCAGAACCGCCATCACTCCGCTCTCTAGTCACTAGAAAATCCACATTGAGAACAGCAGAGAGAGCTGCACTGAGCAGGCGCGTGCACCGACAGCTTATGAAGTCATATTGTCCTTCTTTGCTCCAGACTCAATCGGGAAAAGCATCGTTTTTTGAACCATAAAGCTTTCGCTAAACAGTGGGAAGAGATGGTCTTGTGTTCGGGACTGACATAACGTTAAAAGGTAATGTATTAAAGTCTTTTTTGTTAAGTTTTTAGCCTTTATTTGTTGTCACCTAAAAAGCCTTACATAACCTGCGCGGTTGACCCCATTCCACACGCTTGTTTTCTTAGCGTTTTAGATGTTTTAGTTATATTTGTCTTTATGTTTCCCTTTGTATGTCTCGTGGGTTGTATTTAGTGTTGTCATACTGCAGAATGTGAGATATATGCTTTACAATTAACTGCAATATCTCGCCAGTTTCACCTACTTGGATTTGACCTAATTTCTAGACCGTGGTGTTTTCAGTGTGTTTATGGACTACTAACGTAATCGCGCTCCCTCTCTAAAAAGCTGTTTTATTAATGTGAAAGATGGTGTTTTCATACCTGTTTTTGCATATAAATCATTTCTATTGTTTACTATGGTTTGTAGCTGCCTCGGTGGTCTTTATTAAGGATAATGTTTTTTAAAGCGTGAACTTATGTAGAAAAGAAATGTACAATATAAATCAGGAAGTAATCTGTAAGAGACTGGAATACAAGCACATTCAATTACAAAAAGATAAGAAAAATAAGTAACAAATGAGAAATAGGAGAAAAAAAAACTAAATGAAGGGGATGTACAAAGTTAAAAACAAATTACAGAAAGCATTAAAAATTGATTTACTGGAAGCATGATATTTTCATAAGTTTATTAACTAGGGGATCTTTTGTTGTTAGATTAACATTAAGAAATCTAAACATTAACTTTAACAAAGAAGATTTAATTTGGGAAATGAGCAAATGAGGTAGAGTATTTAGGAAATTTTGGTTTGTGGATGAAGAATTTAGAATGTAAGTTGATATAAGAATGTATATACTGTGTCAAGCCTATACCCCTCACAAATCTCTCTTTTAAATTAATATTTTTAATAGAAAGCCATACAATAATATATTTGTGCATATACATTAGAATAGTCAGTATTAAAGTAAATTCTTGAGCTTATATACAAAAATAAGTTACAATTATGGTCAAAAAACTTGTACACCCACATTTATGATATAGAAAAAATATTGAATACAAATATTAAAAGTTAGGAAAAATCAAGATAAACAAAAAAAAAAAAGGAAATTTTAGTTGAAATTTTGTAGTTTGTAGTTTTGTTTTGCAATATTTAGCTTGAATTTAATTGTATTATTTTTATTTCTAAATATGTTTAGTGACTAAAATATTATTTTAATAAACATCTGATTAATAAATCTGTTTTGTTGAAATGCTCCAAAGTACATTGCCGATATTTACTGATAAATGGATAAAAATATTCATTTTCAAAATGGGGTGTACTCAATTATGCTGAGCTTTATGTATATTCTATATTCTTTTTTTTGGGATTAGAATAATAACAAATGATATATTTCAAGTTAAAGAGTTGTTTTTGTGATTGTGATTTATTTAAATAATTATGCAAATCTAACCAAAAGTTTTGTGAGATTTTACATGTAAAAAACACGCAAGTCAAAGTTTCCTCACTGTATCTGCAGAAAATCAGAAAACTGAAATAAATGCATTGACCGGGCATATTTTGTGTAGAATTTTAAAATGAATGAGTGATAACTTGTAATTACAACAATTGTGAAAATGACATCATTTCCACCCACAACATCTGTTAATGTTAAGGTGTGTCTGAGGTGCGTTTGGCGGTGCATCAAGTTTTATTTTAGGGCTTGTAGTTCTGGTAGATGATCTATCAGGTAACATTAGGCTTGCTGTTGTTCACTGTCAGTTGAGGTTTCTGTAATGTTTGGTTTATATATGCAAATGATGAATTTTCTGATTAAATATACACTAAATTGCACAGATTTCCAAACAGAAAGTCAGCTTTAGAAGTTTACATTTATTTTTATTGACACAAAATTCTCACATGAAGCATTTACCAATATTTGTTATCATTAAAAACCTGCCAATCTTTTTTATCACTTTATAAATCAGAAAATACTGTTAGTCAGAAATAATAAAAATACAATATTTGGATCAAATTGTTCACATAAATCAGGCTATTAACAAAAGCCTTTGTAAAAGTATAATATAGAAAAGGTTACTATTAAAGTATTAATATTAAAGATTCTAAATTAGATATTTCTAGCTGTTTGTGGAGGCAGTTATTACAATTGTAATATGCTTCATAATTGAAATCTACCTATAATAATAGATAATTTGTGATACCGTAAGTTCTTAAATGTGAAATTTGGATTTTTCTATTTGATGAAAAGAAATGTAATCTCAAAGTACACAAAGTCTTACCACTGAGCAGGCCATTAAAAAGATGTGAAAGAATGGTCTTCTAATGTATTAGTGACTGTATGATTGTGTAAAATAGGGAACCATATAATATGCAGTTTATGTGTAATAGACTTAATGTTTAATTTAATTGTTGCTTAGCAAATTTTCATGCAAAAATAAAGTTTTTGTTCTTTTAGTATTCATAAAGCAATGTTAATTTCGGTTTGTTGGCTCAAAAAATTTTCAATATGTGTCTTTAAGAATTGCAGCAGAACGGCTGCCAGCACAGTTTGCTGGATCAGTTCCAAATAGAGCCCATGCTAATTCCCAGGGCACATATACCTAATAAGCTCCCTTAGACAGAGGTTTAACCTTATAAATAAATTATGGTAATTCCTCTACCTCCTTTGGAGTATTTCTATAATTGACGTTTTGACATGTATGATTTTCTCATTTTTCATGAGAGACAGTATGGAATCGACAGACTGTATGAATGAGTTCAGTACAATGTAGACGTCACATATCCTGAGCCAGAGTCAAGAATTAAATATCACAAGAATGACTGCTCAGATGGTCCGGATCTGGGGGATTCCTCTGTCGTGAGGAAAAAATAGGACAAGAAAAAAAAAACTATGCCAAATGGTCTCTGTACAGAGAGAACAAACGACAACCCATTTTTATGGCATTAATGATGCGGATGTCAAATAAAGAAGAAAAAATCTAGCAAACACAGTCATCACTTGGTAATGTCCTTGCTTTTCTGTTATAAGGTGGTGTTGGAGATGTTAGTCATTTAAAATGTTTTCTTTTCTCTGAGTCTCAGCAAATACTTTTTAAACTATTATGTTGACTGTAAGATGTTGCAAAGGATAGAATTTCAAGTATTTTAATAGATTTTTATGTGTTTAATTGACAAAAAAGGGATAGTTCACACCCTAATTTCACAAGTCACATTGTATGTATATGCAGTGTTAAGTCTGGATTATAATTTATCACTTTGCAAGTGTTTTTTAAGGTATGTAACTGTATGAGGATTTTAAAAGCATAAAGACATAATAAATTGTACCATTTGTAACTTTGAAAGATTAATAACGATTATTTTATTGAATTGTTCATTCAACGAAAACTATGTAATATTATTTTACATTTATTTATTCAATTATTATATGCTGAATACAGTTAGACTCATAAAAACACAAAAAAATAAAACACTTTATTTAATTGGTATGTTTTTCTTTATTAGGTTTATCTATGCTTGTCGATTGTTTGTGATATTTTATGCAGATTCACTTCCCTAAAGAAGCATCCCAGTCTTAAATTATATATATAGTCATGATATATATGACCGAATTAAAAATATTTTACAATGATTTTTCTAATAGTGTGCAGCCCTTTAGTATTTAAGCCTGGTTTATACTTCTGTGTCAAGTGACCGGCGTAACCCACGGCGTATGCAATGCGCGTAGCTGTGCATTTATACTTCTGCGCGCTGTCTCTGATGGTCTGCATTGACACATCCGAAACGCTAGTTGGCAGTGAGGTGTAAATGTTCCTCTGTGTCGAGTTTCTTTGCTGCTGTTTTGCTTTTCCTTAACACTTCCTGGATGTACAAGTGACTCAAACTCGCTAATTTTGAGGCAGGAACCGGCAGACATGCAACAGCTTTAACCATGAGGTAAACAGATCAAAATTTTCCATCCGGAGCTCCTTCATGGGACTCCACACTTGTAAACAATTGCTCACGCCATTCGCGCGGCTCTCGGTCTCGCCCAGACTCGTCAGCGCTACCAAGCCGACCAATCACAGAGCTTGCGCTACGTGTTGTTGCGACGTGTAGTTACAGTTTTTGAGAGGTGCACGTCAGCAACGGCGAAGGGCTATGCGTCAACGGCGTAGCATACGCGTGCGTTTGACGCAGAAGTATAAATCAGCCTTTAGAATGGAAACCAATGGCTGTTCCCCCCAGCCTTCTTCAGTATATCTTCTTTTGTGTGCAACAAGAGAGAAACTTAATCAGGTTTGAAACAAGTGGAGGATGAGTAAATGATGATAGAATATTCATTTTTGAGTTGTTAAGTTGAAAATTAGATTTCCTAAGGGAAAGAAAAGTTACTTAATGATTAAAGCTTTTTTTAAATTAGCTTATTAGAGCATATCAAACGTTTGCCAATGACGTCCTTTCTAATAATTCAATGAAGGTTCTGGTTTAACTCTTGTTTTTGAAGGGTGACTCAGTGAACATGGCCCCAAATTCCATCCACTGGTTCCGGAAGGGTCTTCGTCTTCATGACAACCCTGCGCTTCAGGAGGCAGTGCGTGGGGCAGACACTGTTCGATGTGTCTACTTTCTGGATCCCTGGTTTGCTGGGTCATCCAACCTTGGGGTTAATAGGTGGAGGTGAGTGCAGTTTAAGCAAAATATCAATTAATAATGTTCAAATCAAAGTGCCTGAAATTATCTCAGTGTCTCATGTGAGCTGAATCAATCACTGACATCATTTCAGTGCACATTTTATTGGGCAATAAAACACCACAAATACAGTCACTGTTTAATAGATAATCAAATATGGTTGCAGCTGATACTAAAAACTAGCCTTATCTCAGTGTAATTGTGTTATATGTTATGCAACTTGAAAAGTGGAGTACCTTGGCATATGGGTCAGAGACAAAAAGAGAATGGCAAGCAACAAAAAATGTTTAATATGACACATATTATATACACATATTATATATATGTATGTACTGTATATATACACACACACACACACACACACACACACACATTAAAATGTGTCTAGTTTAACTCCTGTCTAAAATAATGCCTGACAATACTTTGACTAACATTATCAATATTTTACTAACATTTAGCATGATTCAAAAAACGGCACCCTCTGAAATATAAAATGTAAAGACCCGTGCACACTAAGACGTTTTTTGCTTGCGTTTTCTGTCAGCGTTTAACGCCTCATGACTAAATAAAGGGCGTCAATGTGATTGTGCGAACCAACGCACAAAACGGCAGGTGCAAAAGCGTCATTTAAAAAAAAAACGCCTCATGCTTGTTTTTTTTGTTTTGATGCCACCAATCAGATCGGCACTTTGGATCACGTGCACGGAGCTGCTAAAGTTACAGTAAACAGCACTTGGAGGCACTCAAGCGCAAAACTGTCAATGCGAGCGCACATTGAAAGAAGATGCCCAGAGGCGATATGAATGTTTAGCTGCTTATTGCTCTTGTGAACAATAATCATTTCTTCATAGCTAGAGCTGGAGCTGCTCCTTGAACCATCCATGCTAGTTTGAGTCACCAGTAACTTTAACAACAAGCGTGTGAACTTCCTCGCCTCCTCTTCTTCTAAGCGTGTGTCAGAAGCTTAAAGTTGTGTAGCCCCATCTAACGTCAAGGAGTGATTTTGCATACTCTTCTGCTTGACGCTAGTGTAAATCGCTTGGGTTTGAACACGGAGAAACGTGTCGTAAAACGCTGACGATTAACGCAAACGAAAAGCCCGTGTGTAGTAGCCTTAAGAGTAAATTATATTCCACAAAAATCTTGTCATTGTGCTCCAATCAGGATTTTTGAAGCCTACACAGAGTACCGATTCTGATGCTTCAAACTTTAACATTGCATAGAGCACATTTTCCCTTTAAGTATGATACTTAGCTTTCCTAAGAGAAAAAATGAAGGATGTTGCATATAATCCTTTAAACATGTCTCTTATTACCATTTAGTGTGGACAGGTCATGATCAGAAGCAGCTTTACAGAAAACAATAGATAAGAAAGGTAAAAATTTGGTAAGAAAAATATCACATTGCAAATGAAAGAAGAATTCAACATGTCGCAATGAAGAAAAAGTTTGGAATTCATATTTGATGCATACAAAGTTAAAATGGATCTTCTGCTTGTAAACCCGTTAACGAGCACTTGCTAATAGTAAGATCAGCCTGATTGGCGAGTACTGATCGAGTCATAAAATGTTATTATCGGCTGATATCCATTTTCGACCGATCGATCAAAGCATTCTTACTTGTCATTAATATTTCGCATAATATTGAAAGACTCTACTAAGGATCACACTTCAGATCAGCCATTTTAAGTTTGAACACTAGCTTTTACCCAATTGTGAGCAAGATGTTTTGTAAGGAAGTGAAACTATATTTAAAATATAATGAATTTTAGTATGATCAGTTGTTTTTACTAAATATGCTGTTTCATTTAAACATAAATGTATGTTGCTCTTAATGATGATGGTTAGGCAAAAAGTGAGAGATTATTGTTATTGAGCTACTGTGATTTTAGCATTGTTCTGTATTATTAACAGTAAAGGTCAGCAGAAGCAGATGCTGACATAAGCTTTTTATTCTAACTGTTTATTCTGCTTTTGACTTTTGGTCTAAAAATGAGTATTTGCAACTATGTTTATGAATACTGAACTATATATATTTATGTACAGTAATGACATTATAAGGATGAGATTTCAGGTAGAGAATCCCATCATGGCTTCTCAAACTCTCTGTCCAGAAATAGAAATAGAAGCTACTGTGTCTGCTTTCAGTTTTTGTCTATTTCTGGTAACTCTCTCTGTTCGTGGGTGTAAAAAATATATTAGTAATACAGACAAATTAATATTTTGTTAGTTTAATGTCCATTTAATTATACAAAACATCCCTTATTTATTAGAAATCTATCTGTTTATGCTGTTATTTATTAGGCTTATTATGATAACCGGTTTCAAAGTTTACTGTGGTTTGGAAAAAAAAACCTGTGGTTTTTGTTTCCTAAAATTAAATATATTGTGTTCAATGGGGTAAAAAATAGTTGCTTTATTCACCTTATTCTTCGCCGACGAGCGGGCGCTGCCATTTGAATCTTTTTGGCTTGAGACTTCTGGTCTTATTCACTTCTATTCATTTTTGACGTTAAAAACTGCTCGTTACGCTGCTTGATGTTGCAATTCGATATTTTCTTATTACATTTTTTCTTTCTTGGTCTGTATAGTCATGCAAACATTTGTTTGTAAAGCAAGTAGTTTGACCGTTTTCTGCCGTTTATTATTACTAGTCATTTCTCCCATAGGCGACTGAATCGGAAGTTCTAAGACAATCGCGAAAACAGGCGCACTTCCGCATTTTAGAATAAGGTCAATACTAAAACGTTTAAAAAGGATTTATTTTAGAGCTGTAATCACAATATTGTAATACTGCGAAACCAAGATATTTGAGTCAGAATCTTAAACTTATATATATATATATATCCTATTTGGTGTAATAGATAACACTGATGTAACAGAGAATTAGCATTACATTTAATGACTAAAACATTACCTTGAATGATAAAACTTACTTGAGCGTAAATCACAGATTGCCGGAACATTGTAGATTATTCATGTTTTTTTTTTTCTAAAAAATCTAACAATTTTTGTATTTCATTAAGCGACTAGAGAAAACAAATTAGTTTTTAAGTTAATCTTTTACTTAAGGATGTAACAGTAAAATATTTTTTTTGCAATCAATTACTGTGACGTTGATGATTGTACATTTTTATATCCACAGAATTTATGTGACAAACTAGTTACTTTACATGGATTTAAAGCATCACCAAATTTTATATTTGACCTATATATGTAAAATCGGCCAAGAAACGCTGCTGAAGTGAATAGTTTCCCTATTAGGTTTAAAATGAGCTTTTTTATCACTGTAACTGATATCTCGTCTTATGTCAACCTTTATGTTGTTTGCATTTGAATGAGGGTCAAAAACTGATATTTAGGTCACTCTGTAATGCGTTTTTCCATTTCTGTACAGCCTGTTCCATTGAAAATTAACCCCTTTGTTACATAAACCAGAAACACGAGTTGACACAGTTTGATGACAGCATAACCAGTCTAATCAATTTTCTTCTGCCGCTGCATCCCACTGTGAATCACAACAGCGCAAATCTACTTTGACATTTTATTTAAATGAAGATTAAATGAAAAATGTGATTGCAACGTTATAGTTTTACTGGCAATCACATCTGGATTTGACTAATTCTAAAATTCCATTCCCATTGTAAGTGAATCTATCCATTTTATATTGATCTTAGGTTATCAGTAAATGATGATCAAAAAACATTGTGTTTTCCCAAGTGGTTTTTCAGAAATTTACTTTCTGAAGCCAAGCCTAAATGGTTCTGAATTTATAATGAATTTAATATAACTGATTCACACCTGCTATTTTTGCAAAACGGATGTCATATTTTCATTAGTGGGATGTGAGCAGTCATATATGCCTATGCGCTTCTATTTTCGACCAGAGAATACCCACACATGAAGTAATCTGACCACATGGCCGCGTATGCAGATCCATCTGATGCCATAACAGTCAGGATAAGTAGGCCAAGTTGCAGACCAGCAGATGCTTCGCTCTCAAAAGACAATCAGACAGTCTGCTCTCAGAGCTTGTCATTCAGCCCTCCTCACCTACTGAATGGATGTAGAGGGATCTGACTGAATGTTAATGAGAGCTAATTCACTAGATTAAAAGATGAAGCACCTGTGACTGGATTTTTCATTTGTCAGGTGCAGTGTTCATATGGCCTCCACAGTACATTCTTACCTAAAACACCTGTTGAGGACCAACTTTAGGTACTGTAATGCAGGGAGATTGCAGGTCACGTTGAGCTGTCTGTTCTAAATGTGTAAATGAGTTTAGAGTTCTTAGACTTTAGCTCCCACCATATTTAAACACACGTGAATCAGCTACTAGTGTCTTTAGACTCAGTTAGAATGCAAAATCACATGCTGTTTGAGGTACTACATTTAAATTTAAACTTAATTTATAATTGCGGTTAAATTCATCAATAAAAAATGTGCTAAAATTAAGATAAAGGGCAGGTTCAGGTAAAAAACTGAATGGGAGACATAGAGGAAAGGTTGTATTTTTGTGATGTACACCATATTTCAAAGGAGATCTAAACATAAAATAAGCACATATATGGGCGTGATCGTTATATCATGAAAAGGGAGAAGTTTTCTAACAAAATAAAATATATTTGCCTGTCATCGATGCGGTACATACTATATAATTACGTTACATGAAAAATACTAAAGTAAATACTATAGTGTTTGGAAGCATACAATAGATAATTACTTGTATTAAACTGTCGTAGTAATTATATTGTTGCTGTGACACAACACAACTGTAGTAATAAACTAATTATTTAATATGCTTCAGTGTTATACGCTAAAATTACAATGAACCACAGTTTACACTAATGTTACAGTATTTATTACAGTTTGTTTACTATGCTACAGTATTTGGTACCATTCATCAACCAAAGATTTGTACGCATTATACACTTTACTATGTGGTTCAAAAACATTTATTCTAAATTACCATAGTTTTTCTCCTTACAGATATCACAAAATAACAGATGAAAGCTACAAAAGTATGGATACACGGTCTACATTATTATTTATTTATTTTTGTAAGGGGGAAAAGTGGTCCACAATAATAACCGTCTAGTTTTGTCGCAAGGTTTGAATTTATTTATTTATTTTTGTTGTTTATTCCGCCATGATTATTGCATACCTTTCATTGCAGCAATTACATGACCGGGTAAATTTATTTATATTATCCTAGATTTTGTATGGTGTGTGTGGTGGTGTTTGTTTTTTATATAACACATTAACATATTTATACATAAAGCTAGTCCTCAATATAATCATATGGTGCTGTCAAACGAATTATCGCATTCAAAAAAGTTTGTACACATGGATGCATTAAAAAATGTTTATTGCTTGCCGCCTTTTCTTTCGTTTTTCAGTCAGTTTCTTTAACTTTCTCCCCTTTATAAGCAAAAGCATTTATATAAACAAAAAATATCAATGTGGGTCACAATGTGGGTACTACATGTGCTGTGTTATCACCTGTTGATCTACCAGCATCAGCTGCATATCTTTTTATTTTTTATATGTTTTACAATTTTCTGCTGTAGCCTTATGAGATTATAAAATATTAAGTGGATGCACACTTCAGAATATCACAAGAAGTAAAGCAGTTGGCGAGACTCTTCTAAGGAACTTTTCCACCTAATTTTGTTCATATACTTTTTGTGTGGATCTCAAATTTACATCTTATGGATTAGGTAAGTGAATTTAGAAGATGATCTGAGATTGCGAGGTGAAAAGTGTCTTTTACTGGATAAATTATAACAGCTAATTCCTTCAAAAGTGCCATAATGTAAACCAATATGCACTGATAAAGATGGATCTAATGTAATGTGATATAAATGTTGCTGATTAAATTAATGTTAACTAGTCATGGGTTCATTTTACTTTATTTGGGAGGAGAACTACTGAAACTATTGCAAATAATTACAAATGAGTGTTGGAATTTTGTGGTCAGGTTATCTCGGGTCTTCAGCACCTACAGTAAATGGCACATTCTGTTGTTGCACTCAAATGAATGTTACAGTATTTATATGGCAAATGCAAAAGAAGAGCTACTGGAGCAACATTGTTGTAAAAATAAAATAAACTACTATAACCTAGGCATGGGCATAAGATTATAAGTATAAGATTCTGATGGTATGATAAACTTGGATAAAAATATCACGGTTTCACAGTATCATAATTTTGCGATTACTACTCTAAAAAAAACTTCTTTTTAAATGTCTGGGTAAAAACCAAAAACTTTTCCCCTTTGAACACATTTTATTTTGTGAAAGATTTAAAATATTTTGAAGCAGTAAACATGTCAGGCTAAATTTTTCAAATGAATCACTGCCTTCATTAGTTTAAAAACAGATTTTTTTTACAATTAAAAATAATATCTTTAGAGATTTTTTTACTGCTGGAGATACTGTTGTCCTAAAAAAAAAAAAAATGTAAATAAAAAATCTTACACATACCTTAGGAACGGTATTGCAGAAAATTTTGACGGGTTTTAAAAACTTGACTTTTCCAAACTGTGGTATACCTTGAAAACGGTTATCGTCCCATGCCTACTGTAACCCCAATTCTTAACTCAAATTTTTGTTATACGTAGCAGTGTTGCATCTAGGATTTTGCTCGCTTGCTACGATTGTTGCTTGTCTTCCGCATCGCGCAGTCCTGTCAGTCAGCATGTAACCTTTAACTGTTAAATAAATAACGCACAGCAGTACTACGATTACAGAAAAATTAGCTCTGTTATAATTCACTTGCATTTTAATGTTGTGGTGCGATTAATAATCCGCTATTTAAAAAAAACAAGAACAAGGGAAGGTTTTGAAAAAGAAGCTTTAATGTAGCCATGGCAGGAATGAATTTTGGTGTGCCGCCCCGCCATGGAAGAATGAATGTAGTAGAAACCATGCATGCGTAGGTTTTGATAAAGCACAATAGTGTTTGGAAATGGGTATCTGTAAATAAATGTCAAGTAAATTGATATTTTGGTAATACAATTATTTCTGAAAGATCATATAATAAAAAGTCTTATTTTAAATTTCAATAAAATGTTTTTTTTACTGCTTGTTTAATCATATGATAGCTGATTTGGCTGGCTAAAGTAACTTGAAATCTAAAATGTTTTACTTTAGTAACCAAACCCACGTAAGCAGGAATGTTTTACACCCCGCAGATTGCGAGATAAAAATACCTACTTTCTCTGTTTGCAGTTGCTGAAGCACAGCACTTTAACCAGTGGCACAGGCACGTGCACTTAGTTAGCTATCCATCTTGTATAACAACTGATAATATGAACTGTGCCCATGACTTGTTATCTTGGTTTCTTAGAAGCTAGACACATTTGTTCTCTTTCTAGTAATTGAATTCTGCACTTTATTTTCAAAGACTGAACTCTCTATTGTTGTTTTCATGTGATGGGACAGAACAGGAATACAGGGATGTGTTCTTTTGTCTGACTAGGTGTTGAGTGTTGTTGTGGTTGAAAAGAGGTCACTGGGCTAATTTTATGCCCTCCAGTGGTGAGAACCAAAACTAGGACAGGCCAGTTACATAAGGAATAATATATGACAGGGCAGAGTTCTGGAAAATAGGTTTGAGTTTTCCATCCTCATGCAACCAATATCTATTAGTTTTCTTTATTCATTTTGGATTTTATGAATGGAGGTGTATGTATGTTGCTGTAGTTTGTGCATGTTAGTGTGTCAATCGTTCGGCAGTATCTGGAGCATAGGGAGCTTTGTCCCTGTCTGCTCCCTAATCAGGGCTTTGCTTGCAGACAGTCTGACTTTGGGCTCAGGCAGGACTAGGAGCAAATAGCAGGCACAGGTAGAAGGTCGGACGAGCCTTTCAGACAAATACTATAACCTCATTAATAAAAGAACACAGTGTTCTTTTCAGGAAGGAGCTGCTAACGTTTAACCATTCTGCTTAGTTATATTTCATGCACAGATTGCTGTGCTCTGTTTGGTAGGCATGGATGCCAATTGAGTGGGTTTTTGCACACTCATAGTTAAGGGTCTGGTACAAAGTGTTATGCTTTTACAGAGAAATAATATTAGAAAAAACTGTAAGTGGGACTTTGCATAGTTATAGAATAGTCATAGTTGGAAGGTTAATATCATATAATATTAATATATTTAGTTTTTTGCGACAATGCCTATCATAGAAACAAAATGTTCTCTATATTGTGAAAAGTTATGTATCGAATTTCATATTGCACCTAAAAAATCCAGATGCAGAAGATCCATCTGAGGACATTTAAACTAAGAGACCCAATGCATACATCAATTGACATGCACACACATACAAAAAAACATTGCTTGAATATGGGCGTTCACTAAACACTGACCTGATTGTTTCTTAATCAGGATGGAGATTATGAAGAAGAAATGCATTTGACTAAGGCTGCACGATATTGAAAAAAAGAAACGGAGTGTGATTGTGAAGTATATTTATTTATTTTTATGTATTGCGATTATTAGTATAATTTCACAAGATGACCTTATTTAGAAAAAATATGGTATTATGCATCGATTGGAATGATTTGTAAGGTAGTGCATCTGCATATAATATACAACAGGATATGATATTAAATACAGCACAGACGCAAACAACAGAATAAAGATAAAATGAAATGAACAATGCTTTATGGTTTTTGGTCTTGAGATATGAAATTCAATAATCAAATGTAAAATAGGGTGGTGCGGTGGTTAGCACTGTCGCCTCACAAAAAAATACAGGGACTAAGCCAATGGATGAATGAATGAATAAAATTATTCGTAGTGTATGAGTGCGTGTGTGTGTGTGTGTGTGTGTGTGTGTGTGTGTGTGTGTGTGTGTGTGTGTGTGTGTGTGTGTGTGTGTGTGTGTGTGTGTGTGTGTGTGTGTGTGTGTGAACGTGTGTATGGGTATTTCCCACTACTGGGTTGCAGGTTACAGAAGAGTTGCATAAAACATATGCTGGATTAGTTGTTGGTTCATTTCGGTGTGGCTGAAATAGAGACTAAGCTAAAGGAAAACGAAGGAATGAATGTAAAATATAATTGCATTTTTTATTGTACTAAATCATATTTAAAGCCAATTTATCTTTGTTAAAGCAGCAAACTTTCTAATTTCTTTTGCCAAATGGCTTAAATTAACTTGAAATCTTAGTCACACTCTTAGGCACTACCAATATGCACGAAAACTGTTTATCATTTTATTTTATCTTTACTTTAATAACATGTTAGTATTTGTGACTTAATTATATATTGATTCTGTGTTATTTTTAAGTTAAAACGACAGCCCTCTTTATCCAAGTGCAGAGTGTCATCTGTTTCCTGATCTATTCATAAAGCACTCTCTAAAGGCTCTAGTACTTACTTTAATGTCCCTTTAGCTGGTAAGACAGATGTGTAGAGAGGAAATAACCATTAAGCTCCTCAAGTTTTAAACGGTTCATGAATGGGCAGATTTGTGAATGGAAACTCAGAGCATCTGCTGGTTTGAGGAACAGCTTGTAGAACAGGTAAAGCTTGAGGATCTTTTAGATCAGTTGTTCTCAAACCGTCAGGTCAAGAACCTGGCCAAGTCAGGACATCTCAGAAGCAGACAGTAACTGAAGTATTCACTACATTGTGAAAATGAAACCAATTTAGCAAATTTTTTAATTATATGTCGAAGTATTTATTTGTCTCTTATTACAATCAGCCCATTGTGCCTATCTGCTTTTACAGTGGAAAATAATGCAAAAAAGGACTTTTACAGAAATAATGTTATGGATAAAACACCAGCAGTAATGTTAGTTTAATGCTATAGAAGGTGAGGCTAAAAATGAAGTAACCTTTTCTTTTTATATGAAAATATTTTAAAGCGCTCAGAAATTAAATATACATGTATTTTTTTTCTCTACAGATTTCTCCTACAGTGCCTGGATGATCTTGATTCAAATCTAAGAAAACTCAATTCCCGCCTTTTTGTCGTCCGAGGGCAACCAGCCAATGTTTTTCCACGCCTTTTCAAGGTAAAATTTGTCCCGTTAGAATATTGCTGTCAGTGCATAAATGTAGTATCACAAAGAATGTAAATCATTTCTTAATTTGTCTGATGTCAATAACCTGAAGAAAACGCATTACATTTGTGTTCATTTCATTGCATTGGCCTTTTTTGTGTGACTATTCAGTGTTTTTATATTGTTTTTGTTCATGCAGGAATGGAAAATATCCAGGTTGACCTTTGAGTATGACTCGGAACCGTTTGGGAAGGAGAGGGATGCGGCTATTAAAAAGCTTGCGATGGAGGCTGGAGTTGAAGTCATTGTCAAAACCTCACACACCCTTTACAACCTTGATAAGTAAGAGCTCGTTTCTTTAATGCTGGCATATTTGTGCGTCAGTTTAGTCTTATACCTTCTTAATGCTGCCATTCAAATGTTTATTTTATTTTTAATTAATTTATATATTTGTATTTATTTTTTTATGCTATTGTAAAAATGACACTTTATGTTCAGTAATGTTTACATTTAATATTATGCATCTTTTGGTCATTTCACAATTAGTCCTGGCAACATTCTCCAGGACAATATGGTAAAAGCATTTGTTTAAATATGATATGAGACATTATTAAACAAACTAATTTAAATAATTTGCGTATATTTGTGGTGTAAATATCATTAGTCAAGTTACAAATTGATAAATTGATTTTTTTTTTTTTTTTTTTTTGCATGTTCGAGTGAAAGTTTTTACAGATGAGATTTTTTGTAGTTTGTTGTTTGTTTAGTAATTAAGAACATAAATGAAATGAATTAAATTTGAGATGCTTTATTTAAATTAGTCTGAAAAAACATTTTTAGAAAACTCAGAAAATCAATCATTATTATAATTAAAAAAAGAATTAAATGCACTCATGTTGTTTTAAACCCATAAGAAAGTTGTTGGAGGACAAGTAAATTATTTTGGGTTGAACTTTAATTCTATAAGCTCTTAAAACAAACATTTGCCATCTTCTTACAGTGAATTGTATATTTGTAAATAAAGATGTCTATTAGAAAGAAAGAGGCAATTTTTTTACCCTTAACATTTTTTTCAGGATCATTGAACTGAACGGTGGCCAGCCTCCCCTCACCTACAAACGTTTCCAGACACTTATCAGCCGTATGGACCCGCCTGAGATGCCAGTGGAAACCCTCTCCAACAGCATTATGGGCTGCTGTGTCACGCCAGTCTCTGAAGACCATGGGGACAAATATGGTGTGCCGTCTCTGGAAGAACTAGGTGAGTTAAAGTTTTTGATTACATTAATATATCTAAGGTGAATTTCAGTTTGCTTAAACCATTTTTACATTCATTTTAACCAAAGTGAAGGATATAAAGAGGTCATAACTTGAGAAATCTAATTTTCCTTGATCATTTGACGAGCAAGAAAGTATTTTCTTAATGTTAACAGTTTGATATATACTGATACAATCCACATTATTTTTAGAGTACATTTTAGTTGTGTTCATTTTTCAATTATTTTATTATGCAAAATAAATCTTGAATGCGACATGGCATCACAGTAAGGTGTCGAAGAGAAGCACAAACAAAATTGCTTAAAATCATTTTTAAAAATCATAAGAAAAAAAACTGCAGTTCATAACCTGTTTTGAAATTAAAAGAACTTAAGAATTTAAATGTTAAAACACTCACTGTATCCATTTCCTGTGACCCGTGACACAAATTCAAGTGTTTCATAATTGGCAACAAGAGAAGCCATCCAGTTATGTACGATTTGTATTGGTTCTTTAACCTATATTATGTTTGTTTAGGATTTGATATTGAGGGACTTCCTTCTGCTGTCTGGCCTGGAGGTGAAACCGAGGCATTAACAAGAATTGAAAGACATCTGGAGCGAAAGGTGCGATCTAATATATATATATATATATATATATATATATATATATATATATATACATATATACATATATACATACACACACACACACACACACACACACACAAGGACACTGAAACTGAATTTTGTTATCTTAATATTTGTATACATAAACAATCAAAGCCAATAGGTACCACAACTGTACTCAAAATATCTTTTTTTCTCCTTTAAGTACCACCATTTATGACATGAGGGAGAGAATTGAGAATTGGCATATTTACCTGCACAGTCCCTTTAAATATATATTGTCAGTCTAACATGTATTGCATATTTTGTTTCTATAAAAAATCCTTACGTTATCAATGGCCTATTTTACTTATGCCCTCTTTACTTTGTTTTTTTAGGCTTGGGTTGCAAATTTTGAAAGACCCAGAATGAATGCCAACTCTCTGCTGGCCAGTCCGACTGGTTTGAGTCCCTACCTCCGTTTTGGCTGCCTCTCTTGCCGCCTCTTCTATTTCAAACTCACAGACCTCTATAGAAAGGTACAGACATGACTCTATAACAAGTGTGCCCGATCCATTGTCCTACAGAGTTTAGCTCTGTTTAGTCTAGCTCTAACCAGAACACTTGTCTAGACATTTATTAGTCCAAATAAATGGACTAGACATTCATAAGTCCAAAGAACTTGATTATCTGGTTCAGGCGTGTTTAGGGTCAGAGCTAAACTGTACAGTACTGTGGCCCTCTAGAAGCAGGTTTGGACATCACTGCTCTACTTTCTATCAGTGTAGTAAACTTTTCAATCATTTTAATATTAATAATAACATTGAAGAAAAAATGTATAGTTTGAATTGTTTATGCTGACTGTAGTGGGCTGCTTCCCCACTACAGTCTTGATTTTCAGTCAATTTTAGGTCTGGCCATTTCATTATATAAATCTTTTTAGCTTAAACTGCTTTGCTAGTTTGAATGTGTGATTGTGTGTGGTCATTGTCCTGGATGAAAATCGCTGGCTGAATGCAGATATCCTTACTCTGTTTAGCTCTGAACTGGCAAATAGTTGCAGCTGGAGTATTTAAATGATTGGTCATTAAGATTCTCTCTACAATTCTGTCCTCTAATCTTTAACTAGAGCAGACTTTTTTGGGAAATTAAATGAGTTACTGATATTTTAAAACAGCAAATTATCTAAAAATCACAGACCTTGAAAGATCAACAACTTCTGCAATCCTGACAACCTGCTTCCAGAGCGTTTCATTCACTTTAAAATGACTCCATATCTTGCAAATTCAGTGAAAACTAGAAGATCCCAGTTTAATGGGGTTTGTCAGATAATTAAGGAAATGATTGGATGCCAGATTTACACCAATAACTGTGATGTACCTCATGGTGTTCTTTCATTTTTTTTTTTTTTCAAAAATCTCCTTTTTTCAAAAATCTCAGTTGTTTATAAGGCTTCACAACACATTTTTCAGCATTGATAGTATAGTCTTGCAGCATGCATGACCGATCAGAATACTTGAGATTTGTGGAGTCACAGCATGAGTTTAGCCATAAGAAGAAAGTTGTTAATTTGATGTGTTTTTAAGGCCTATAATTGTGTGATAAATTCAAGAGAGTTTAAATTATTCAGGCACAAGAAATTTTATGAAAACTTAAAAATGATAATAAAAATGATGTCATATTGTATTTAGTTTGACACTTAAATTAACGTTGCTCTCTTGTATTTATCAATGCTTGTAATTTGTTTATATATTTTATTCACTCTCCTGCAGAATCATCACAATCGATCTAAACAAAGGTTTTTTTCAAACAGAGCTATTTAGTTCATTTGAAGAATTATAATATAGTCATATAACATTATATATCACAGAAAAACTAAATATCACAGTCAGATGTTTCCAGTTTTGTGCAGCTTTACATTTTATAATGTGCTTTATAATAATGGTAAAATGATTAATGCTCCTTTTCTCTTAGTATAACTTCAAATGGGAATAAGTATTGGCTAAAATATTCTGAACAATTTTAGTTTTTTTTTTGCCATTTTGATCTTCATTGTATATTGATTTGTTGATTATTTAAGTTAGTGTAGAAATTCTACAAATAAATGATGAATGTTATTATGTCTTATTGGCGGAAGTGATTACAATATCTAGGTTGCAATTTTTTTCATAGGTAAAGAAAACCAGCACTCCTCCGCTCTCCCTCTACGGTCAGCTGTTGTGGAGGGAATTTTTCTACACCGCTGCAACCACCAATCCACGATTTGATAAGATGGAAGGAAACCCAATCTGTGTGCGCATCCCCTGGGACAAGAACCCAGAGGCTTTGGCTAAATGGGCTGAAGCTAAGACAGGTTTTCCCTGGATCGATGCCATAATGACCCAACTGAGGCAGGAGGGATGGATCCACCACCTGGCCCGTCATGCTGTTGCATGTTTCCTCACTCGTGGAGACCTGTGGATCAGTTGGGAAGAGGGCATGAAGGTGCATCTCTTAAACATGGGAGATTTTGTTTTTAATTTATATCTATTACCCATTAATTGGGTGAATAAAATGATATAAAAAAGACACAAATCAAATATAAAAATGAAAATAATCAAAAGCCATTAGGAGCAATCTTCAAAATAATAATACAGTTTTCACAGAATAAATTGCCATTCTATACATAAGAAAACATGACTTCCTTATATTTTAGAGTGAATATCCTTTTTTTTAGGATTTGAAAACTATTAGATATTATTGTAGACTCCCCTACATGTGAAACATTAAAACTGGTATAGAGAAGTCATCAAACTAATTGACAAAATAGAAATACTGGCGATCTGATGACCAAAAGCCTATTTTATTAATTGTAAAAAACCAGAGTGGATCTGTTTATACTGTATGTGCTGCCTTTTGCCAATCAAGATTGCCAATCGAGGTTTCAGCAACACCATTTTGATACAACAGGCTTAATTGAGCTACACTTTCAGTGGGTTAATATGCATGAGTCAGTTGATAAGTGCAGTGTCAAACAGGCTCATGCTGATGATGCAGTATGATGTGCATTGAATACACGAAGAGGAAGTTTATTAAGGTTTTGTATAGATTATTGAAGGCAGAATTTAAAGTTTGATAGCCCTAGATATAAAGAATATCAATTATGCAGGGTGGATTTACTTGAATGTGAATACCTTGAGAGTTTAATTCAGACTAGTGCTGAATGAATGCATTTTTGCAGCCTTGGTAGTTTAAGCATAATTTGCTTTCAGTTTTATCTCTTTTAAGATCATTTGAATAAAGAGTTCTTAGCTATAAAAAGTTATTTGCTAGATGACCTCAAACTTACTAAAAAGGTAATACAATAAGGTCTAATTTTAATAAGTCTGAATGAGCTGCTTAACAACCATCTCTGACTGGCCGGAGTATAACGGTAGTTATGATTGACAGGTGTTTGAGGAGCTTCTATTGGATGCAGACTGGAGCGTGAACGCAGGCAGCTGGATGTGGCTCTCCTGTAGCTCTTTCTTTCAGCAGTTCTTTCATTGCTACTGTCCAGTGGGTTTCGGCAGGCGCACCGACCCTAACGGCGATTTCATTAGGTTGGTAACGTTCCCAAACAAACATGCACGCTCATGCCACAAGGATGGACAGATTATGTAAATAAAGTAATGAAGTTTTTTTAACAGAAGTACTTCTGTTAGTTAGAGGAATATAGGACATGTTTGAAAGGTAATTCATTTGATTTTTCAGTCATTTTTCGGCATTTCGAAATTGCATATACATCAGTTTTTTAAAAATATATATTAGATGAGGTTTAGCATTGTCAATAATTAGTCAAGAAAGCAAGCTTCTCTCATTTAGTCTGTTTTAACATTTTGTAGTGTTTCCAGTTCCAGAATTTGGTATTTCAGGATTTTATTTCTGTCCCAACACACTGCTCTTATTACAGGCTACACTAAGGAACAGATGTAAACATTGCTAGTGTCACATTTAGCATGGCTTCTACATAAGTTTGCTGCAAGCTTGTATGTGTTTGTGTTTCTGTGCAGTCGTCTCACGGATTGGGTGAAAAGTTCAGCTTTCCCTTTCCCCTTGGTGAATTGTGGTTGATTGCTTTTAAGACGAAAGCCATTCTTAGCCAAAGCATTTGGAAACCTGTTAGCTGTGAATGTGGTTGAAGCTCAATGCTTTATCAGTGGGAAATGCAGTAGCCTGTTCTTTAGCTCGGTAGCATCTTGTTTCATCAAAAGGGATTTCAACCGCTTGGTAGGGAGATCCAAACGAAGCCTGACCTGTTTTCAACGCATAGAGAGTCACAATGCATTTCCCAGAGAGCATGATGGGAGGTGGGGCCCAAAGCTAGAGGAAGACACTTCAGTCTAGCTCTGGACAACTCCTCCTTATCAGACTCTTTTTGAAATGTTTAGCGGTCCTCTACGCATTGAATGCAGCCCTGCCTGTGCAAGAGAACAAGAGTCCTGGCCTTCAGCTTGCCCCCTTCTCAACGAAGCCGCCTCGGAGGTCGTCCTGCAATATCCCAAATCAGCTTCTGGCCGTTTGCTTGTTCAGGCAGGATGTAAGTGTTCCTGGCAAAAGGGTTCTGGTCTTTTTTGGCAAAACGAGGGGGCCACCTAGCAGCAGAGAACAGTATACTGCGTTTCTCCTTTGGCGGCTAGCAGGTTTCTCTGCATTGGCTTGGGATCACTGTCGTCTTAAAAGCGATCAGTGGCAGTGCGAGGGGCAGGGAGCGAACCTGAACCTCTCACTCAGCCCTGAGGTTCGATCTCTTGAAGCGGGGTGGGATGGGGTTGTGGGAGGGTGCTGTGTTATTGGATCTGGGGGGGATTGGGAGGGCCTGGTCACTGCCTCTGCTTTTTAACACGTGTTGTAGTAGGTATCTTCGTAGTGTCTCAGCACAGGCGGGACCTGTTGCCCAGTTTAAACTGCACCCGTCTGTCAAGCCATGCCTCCTGCAGCCCCATGCTCTGGTAAGGTGAAGCGCCTTAGGTAGGTGGCCTTTTCTGTCCCTGGGACCTGGAGGAGAAACGCAAGTCTTGATTTCAGTATAGCCTTCTGAACCTTTCAGCTCTTTCTGTTTCCTTTGTGTATGGTGTTATGCTGACAGTCTCATTTCTAGTATCAACTGGCACATATCTATAAATGCACATCAGACCATTTTGAGATACTTGTAAATGAATCAGACAAGCTGACTTGTTGTAATTGGAGAAATTGTGTCTTTCTAGTTTTCAATACCTGCTGACTTACTGGGTTTCCCCATGTTTGAACATCTCGCAAAACCTTCCTTCATGCTTACGATGAGACCTGGGTTTAATCTCTCTTTGTTCTTTCAGACGCTATTTACCTATTCTCCGAGGTTTCCCTGCCAAATATATATATGACCCATGGAACGCTCCAGACTCAGTGCAAGCTGCTGCCAAGTGTATCATTGGCGTCCACTACCCCAAACCCATGGTAAACCACGCTGAAGCCAGCCGCCTCAACATTGAGAGGATGAAGCAGATCTACCAACAACTGTCCCGCTACAGAGGACTTGGCAAGAGTTTTTGTTTTGTTTTAGCAAGCTTACATGCAGTCAAGTAGTAAAGAAGCCTTGTACAACTGAGGCCCTGTTTACACTAATACATTTTAGTTTTAAAATTAAAATGATCCATGTTTACACTGGCGTTTCACCTACATTTAAAAATACATATTTTTTTAAATTTTTGGTTGTTCAAACTACTTATTTAAAATGAGTTGAAACAACACAATTCTTGAGATTTCATTGGGACAACTTAACACATTTATGTGGATTAAACATATAAAATTAAGTTAACTTAATCAATTTGTGTTGGGACAGCATGAATGAATTGTGTGGAACCCTGCATTTTTTACAGTGTAGCATTTCTGAAAAGATCTCCGTCCACACTATACTGCTGAAAACGCACATCACGTTACCACACACACACACACACACACACACACACACGCACACACACTCTGGCATGCGCTGCAGTGTATGCACACGCTTGATCTCTAGGCAATCAGCAGGTGCTCTGCGGGCACCTCCTCGGGTAAGAACAGTGCACGTCGGACAGTTCATCTAGGACAGGCCGCTTGACCCTCATCTCACTATAGTTGTTAAACATGATATTTAATTCTTCTTGTCTCTTTCCAATGACGTTTTTTTTTAAAATTTATTACTTGTTCTCAGGTAACGTGTTTGAGCGCAAAGATAAGTTAATATATTAATTTATGTATCCGCGTAAACTGAACCTGCACATTGAGTGATTGCTTGCCTTTATTTTCTATCTTGTATAAACTTATTGTATTCTTGATTGCCATTATTGATTATTAAAACTGATATTCAGCAAAAGACAGGGTATGTTTTATATTTTTCAATGAAAATGAAAGAAGACAGTAATCTTATAGGTTATGTTTTGTTATAAAAACGCATACAGTGAAGATGACGGTCATACAAATATGTTGCTACATGATGCCTTAACGTTTTTGGTGTCTGTTAATATCAAATAATATCAAAAGTTAATATCAAAATGAAAATAGGCATTTTCTTACATGTTTTTATTTTATTGTTGAGTTGCCAGGGTGATGTGAATGGCGTTATAAAGTACACTGTCCCCTTTGAAGATTTACCTGACATGTCCTCAGGAGTTTGTTTTTTATATCAAACTTGCGAAGTCTTAACTTACATGGAAAGGATGCAAGATTTAACTTTGTGTACTTGATATTGAGAAAAAGCTCAAATCAAATGCCTCTGTTTTCAGATGTCTCCTTTTCCCCCCATCCACACTGACACGGAGCAGCAGTGTTTTAAAACGAAAATGGCCGCTAGCATTTCCAAAACAATCTGTTTTCGTGGCTCAAAAGTTCGGACAGAAGGCGTAACCGTAGCAAAACCTAAAAAAACAAAAAACAAAACGTATTAGTGTAAACGGGACCTGAGACTTGAGGGAAAATTATGTCTTGATGTAGTGCTAGCAAGTGCCAGTCTGGTTAATTGTAATAGAAGCCTAAATTTAGTTCCTTTGTTTTCCAGGACTTCTGGCCTCCGTACCATCCACACACAACGGGAATGGAAATGGGATGGCCTACTCTCCAGGGGAACAGCAGTCTGGGACCAATACACCAGGTGAAACTTATTTTTTCTTCCCCCTTCCCATTTATTTTAATGGAAAGGCTAAATTTTGTGAAATACTGCTAAATAAAAATCAACTTTTATTTATTTTTAATTGAAGAGTTTATATTGAGTAATGGAACAAAGAGAGGTATATTGCTTATTGTAGTATACTATAATAGGTTTCTAAAAAAATGTGCTACTGTATATAAATAATGTGCTGATATTATGGCTGAAGATTAACAAATATTTCAGTTGTGCTAATTTTTGTTCATAAACATAATATCTTGTGTTTTTCATTTATTTTATTTTCTTTTTCCCTTATACTCATGCACATTTAGCACCAGCTGTATCAAGCGGCTCTGTTGCCAGTGGTAACAGGAGTGGGAGTATTTTGCTGAACTTTGATAGTGAAGAGCACCAGGGACCAAGTGGAATTCAGCAGCA